TTTTTAAAGAGCCTGATATAGGCTTATAATTGTGACCGTCTAATGTAGATAAAAAATTTTATATTTAGTTTAGTTTTTCTTATTTTACTTTTACTCCTTTCTTTTTTTTTATTTGTTTTTTTTTTACATATTCCTCTGTACCTCTGTATTTCTTTTATATAAGTTTTTTCTTTTTTTTTTCACTTTTTTACAAGAAGATATCATCAGATTGGTGATATTCTATTGCAGAGCAGTGGTTGAACGAGCCTCCAGTAGGATATTATCTTAATTGATCGTACCTCTCTGGTGCGGTCAGATTATCTATAGGTGCATATAGGTAATCAGTTAGATTATACAAGATATCAGATTTATAGTTTAAATATTATGTACTTCTACAAGTAGTGTTTGATTAAATAAAGATACTGGCGAGATCTGCCAAAGTGAAGCAAAAAAAAAGAAGTACAAAATGAAATAAAGATATATAGTAAAATAGAAGTACAAAATAAAATAAAAATATATGATAGAACAGAAATACAAAATAAATCAGAAATAGAAACACAAAATAAAATAAAAATATATGATGAAATAAAAATGCAAAATAAATTAGAAATAGAATCACAAAATAAAGTAGATATATTTGATAAATTAGAAATGTAGGATAAATTAAGCATATTGAATAAATAGAGTATACAGAATAAAAATAAATGAAAAATACAAGATGAGTTAGAAACAGAAAATAAAATAAAAATACAAGAGAAAATAAAAAATATAGTAAAGATAAAGAGAGTAATAATATGATAATCATAGTAATAACAATAGCAGTAGCAATATAAATAAAGATTTAATAGTTGATGTATTAGTAGTTATAAACTAGATATCAAATACAAGTAATAGAGATTCTTATTTTAGAAATCTAACTTCTGTATTAATGTTTGTTTAATATTTAAATTTAGTATTAGCAAGTTTGAAGTTTGGTTCCCATAGCTTACTTGGTAAGTTCCTGATCCTACTATAGACAAGATCAACAGTTCAAGTTCAACTGGAGGTAAAATATACTCTGTAATCATAAAAGAAATCATAAATTAGATACAAAACCCTGTAGTACAAGTTCAAGTGAATACAAGTTTAGATTAAAAATTTACAGAAAGAGATTGACCTGTAGAGTAAAAACACCATAAATAGTGAGAGAAGTGGTGAACATATAGAAGATCTG